CCCCCGGGATAAATGCCCCCCGCCCAGCTGCCCCCCGCGCCGCGGATCTTGGGCTTTCCCCTTTGAATGGCCGACGCGACCGGCGGCGACTCATGCGTGTGAACCGCGAGTTTCCCCCGGTCGCGGGCGAGGCGGGCGGACGGGCGCACCCTGCGCCGGATGGCGGTCGGACGTGCGTGAGGGGGCAGGGGTCCCGGGTTCACGCAATCGCCGGGCAAAATAGACAACAAGCAAACGGGGATACATTGTCTATCGTTTATTGAATGGCATTCATGTGGTGATGGCACGTGCGCGAGCGTGACATTGGCGGCGGCGGGCGCGCAGTCATGGGACCACAGCGTGGGCAACTTGCCCGACGGGACACCCTCCTCCTCGGCGGCAATGGCCAGCAAGGAGGGGGGGCGTGGCAATGCTCGCTGGGGGGCGAGAATCTTCGCGAGGGCCGGCGGCACGGGCAGGGCGCGCGATTGCGCCCCCCGCTGCCCTTCCCCTGCGCGGGGAGAGGAGAGGGGGGGGGGGGGGGGGGGGGGGGGGGGGGGGGGGGGGGGGGGGGGGGGGGGGGGGGGGGGGGGGGGGGGGGGGGGGGGGGGGGGGGAGACCCGACAGGAGGTGGGCCAGCTACTTGGAAGGCCGCTGCTGCTGCTGCTGGTTGACGAAATCCGAGCGGGCCTTCATGTACTCGTCCTCGGCCGCGCCGTACACCTTCTGCGCGAGGGAGTTCATGCAGCGCTGGAGGCTGCGCGCCAGGGGGGCGCAAGCGTTGACCGGCTTTTGAGGTATGGGGGGGGGGGGAGGGGACGATCGAGTGCCGTGGTGTCCGGTGAGTAATGGGGGGGGGGGGAGGGGACGAAGCAGACTGCAGAGGAGGGATGCGTGGCGACTTCCGACCGACACAGCGGCCGCGGGCTCGGCAGAGCACCTAAAAGGCCGCGGCGTCATCCTCCTCCTCATCACCGTCGATGTCGTCATCCTCGGACAGGATCTCCGCCGGGTATGCCCGGAGGCGCTGGCGGTAGCGCTTGATGCGCTTCTGATAGTCGAAGATCACCAGGAAAATGTCATCCGGAATGTTGTCGAAATGGCCGTCCGCCTCCGCGCCAGCCTCCTGAGTGGGGTTCTGAGGAGCCGAGGCAGCGGCAGCGGCAGTGGCGGCGGCGGCGGCGGCCTCGGCGGCGGCCGCCGCAGCCGTAGCAGCCGACGCGGCCCCCTGGGCCTCCTCCAGAGCCTGGCGCAGCGCGGCGACCTGGGCCTCGAGAGCCTGCTTATCGGCGTGGAGCTGCTGGGCCTCACGGCGGAGCTGCTGCACCTCGGCGGCCTGCTGCTGCACCTCGGCGGCGTGTTGCTGCTGGGCGCCAGTCTGCTGGGTCTGGAGCTGGGCCTGGAGGCGCTGGATGTCGGCCTGAGCCTGGGACTGGAAATGCTGCATGTCGGCCTGGGTCTGCTGGAGTTGGGCCTGGGTTTGGGCCGCCTGCTGGGCCGTCTGCTGGGCGTGGGCCTGCGACTGGTGGAGCTGCTCCAGCAGCTGGGCATTGTGGGCATCCGTGTGCTGGGTGCGGGTGGCAGCCTCCTGTGCATGGGCCTTCAGAAGTTGGATCTCCTGGCGTGCTTCCGCCAAGGCCGCAGCCTCGAGCCGGAGCTGCTCGGCGGTTTGTTGCTCCTGGCCGAGCCCCGGGGTAAATTGTCATTCGGATGAGGGAGGGAGGGGAGGGGAGGGGGGGGGCCGGGGGAGGAGCAGCGCAGGAAGAGGGAGGACACGCGAGCAGGGAAGTCAGTGGCCCAGGTTCATATGACCCCCCCAGTAGGAGTAGCCCTCCTGGCTGGGTCCCATGTGGAAAGAGCGTGCGTACCTTGGCAGCCATCTCGGCGAGCTGCGCACGCAGGGCGGCCAGCTCACCATCATCCGAGCCCTTCGGGGTGGTCGGGGCAGCGGAGGCCCCCACAGCCGGAGCGGGGTCCGAAATGGACAGCGCCGCGGCCCCCTCGACCACAGTGGACGGGAGCGAGGCCCCGGCATCTGGCAGGAAGGACGAAGAGGAGGGAGTTGGCTCAACCGTGCTGGAGGTGGAATCCGCCCCGGGGAAGCCGGCGGACACGATGCCCGGGAACAGGTGCGAGATGTCACCCGCCGCAGGGCTCGCCGCTGGTGGGGGAGCCGACATGGCCACAGGAGCCGAGGTGGAGGCCGGTGGCTCGGCCGCCCCGGCGGCGGCGGCGTCGGTCTCAGCGGGAGCCGGCTCGTGCGAAGCCGCCGGCGTGAAGGGCGCCGGGTGCGGAGGCGTGCCCACCGGAGCCGGGGCCGGGGCCGGGGAAGTCACCTCGCCCGCGGTGTTCGGCTGGAAGAGGGAAACATGGCCGCCGCTGAATGTGGACGGTGGCACGGCGAAATGCGGCACCGGGGCCTGGCTGGAGCCGGGAATATGCCGGAGGGGGTTGTGCACGAGGGCAGGCGACACGGTTCCCGGATGAGCGCCAAGAGGCGGCGGCGCATGCGGGCTACCACCGGCCGCCAGAGGGATGAAGGTAGGCGATCGGAAGGCATCCCCCGCGGGCGGCGGCGGAGCCACAGTGCCGGGGGCCGGGACCGGGGCCGAGCCCGGGGCCGGGACCGGGGCCGGAGCCGGGACCGGGCTGGGCGCACTCACGCTGGACGCCGGAGGGGCAGCCGTGGGACCCGGAGCCGGAGAGTGAGACGGCATCTCTGGATACCCGGTGGGATTGGTGGCAGGCAGGCGCACGGGCAAATGAAAGCAATCG